ATACAGATGGTGCCTTTAATATCACTGTGCAGCGGAGGCTTTTTGGAAATGAAACCAAATTTAGGGAGTATTTTAGACTTTCTACAGATCTTTTTGATTTCGTGTTGTTTTATAAAGGACATAATTTCCAAGAAACCTAAAAATAAAGTCATGATGTCATCTGTATGTGTGAATTTGTCACTCATTGTTTTAAAATTAATAACAATATAGTCTCCGCACACGCCGACGATTCCGCTGATATCAAACTCAACAGATATCAACCGACTCTTCGCGACAAATCAGCGGCATGACGCTGTCCTGCTTAGCTAAGCGGATTAAAGAAAACCATTCCCATTTAAATATTCTGGTTGGATAAAATCGTCAAAACGCGACGGTTGACGGAGTGTCCGCTCACCGCGACGAAGTGTTCAAAGAAACCAAGGCTTAAGAATGAGTTTTATTACGGTGCATCGCTAAAAATGGTACTAAACGCGATTAAACCCTTAATCTGGATTAAACGTGTACGGTGTATACGGGCGTAAGATCGACATATTATATAATATGCAAGGGTTTCATAATACACCAATTTTATGGACTATTTTTTATTTTTACTACAAGAATACTTATATAAATACAGGTAGAGGCTCAAGCCGTACCCGTCTGGTGTCACTTTTTGAAAATTTGAATCGGTTTCCTTTGAAAAAACTCTAAAAATATGTCTTTCTAACGAAAAGAAATACAAATACAAACGCTAGAAGGGAACAATATATTTAATTTTTAAAATAAAAAAAATTACGTTAAAAGCTTTTTCGTCTAGAGGGTGACACCAACAAAATGTATATCCTTTTCCACTATTTACAAGTGATAAACAGTACGCAAGTGATTTGAATTTATTTCGTTTTATGTCTATACACTTTATTTTTTTACGGTTATTTCACTCAATTATTTTATATTAATTTTACAATTAAAAAAATTTATTCGAAATTAAAAGGTAAACAGTGAGATGTGAATTATAAATTTTATATTGCATGAGAGTTTTTTTTTTTAATGAATACATCTTCGAGTTAAGAATAATTAATTCCAGCATGTTAACAACTCTTTAATCTGTTGAAGTAATGTATATTTTTTCGAACTAAGTAAATTATTTTTCTTGCTTTCGCGCGTGGCTTTGATCTGTCGCACTCTTTGATACGCGTTGCAAAAGAAGATTTTCTAAAAAGTTTGCCAATGTATGAGAAAAAAATGAATGTGTCACGAGATCAAGCTGATTGTGCATTGTGGCACAATGAAAGACGAAAACGTGTCACTACTTTAAAATGTGGAGATATTTGTAAAAGAACGAAACATCTACTTTAAAAAATCTCATAAATCTTTTATTTTTTGCTAAAGCCACTCAATACGGCTTGGACAATAAATATAGAGCAAAATAAGATTTGGAAATTTATTTGCAAGAAAAAGTTTTTAAATGTGGACTTCTTATTGATTCCGAATTTGATTATGTTGCTGCCTGTCCGGATGGAGTTTAAAACAAAAAACAAAACTGTATGATATAATTTCCATATGGAGCTAGAGTGCTGACTGTAGAAGAAGGAATATACAGTAGAGAAATAACTTTTTGGGAAAAGGACAATACCATTAAGGAGAACCACAATTGGTATTTTCAAATTCAGGGCTAGCTGCACATTACACAAATGGACTCCTCGAGGAATAAAAGTGGAGAACATTCCTCGTAATGACAGCTTTTGGGAAGAAGAGATGCAAAATAAAATTCAAAATTTTTATATGCAAAATGCCTTACCAGAACTAGTTGACAGCAGAGCTATTAGAGACATGGAAGTACGAGACATAATACCAAATAAATGATGAGACATTTTGTTTAATTTTTATTAACATGACGCATGAAATCTTAAATTATTTGGAATGTGTTTACTAATTCAAGAGTTTATTTGTTTCGAGTCATCTTCCAACCGATCCCTTACTTAAAATTAGAAGGGGTTGCGGGCCGTTGCAAGTTTCGCATTTGGCGAAGGCGGGTAAATAGATTGTTTATCTATTAGTTTTGTTGTTAATAAATTTCAGTGCAAAGCGCGCCACATAACGGTTAGAAAAATGTTATTTGCAGAGGGTCAGGCCGTGCGCGATTAATAACTTATTTTTTGACTTTTTTGAAGAAAGAACATTTTAGGACAAAGTTAAATATTTGCAGCAGGGATATATAGAATTAGATTTTACAAATTATTTCTTATAACGACATGATTAGCGCCTTAAAATACGTAATATTGTCACCTTTTTCTATCTTGAATAATAGCAATCTTAAAAAAAATTAATCATTTTGTTCTTATACATCCCTAGGAATACGTTGTAATTGCGCACGAGAGTAACCGCTTTTTTTGGCTTAAAAATTCAGGCGGAGGATGGCCCTTAAACACGGTAGTAAGCGATCCATTTAAAATATGATTCATGTCTTATTATTATAAATCGCTTTTTATATTTTGATTTTACCAGTGGCAGTCTCAATTGATGATATATAATTATTATACCAAATATTTTGACCAGTTAACCACGTTTTTAAGTTCACAAATAATAATATCAAGATTTTAATTCGGATTAGTAATTTTACTACAAAGGGTTTTGTGCAAAAGTCAAGCCATGTACTGATATTGTAAAACACAGATGAGTAACTATCATGTCAATAGAAATTAAAAATTCACATATGAATCTTTGTAACGTAATTATTTATAATTTTAATAACTTTATACGGTAAAAAAATTAGCTAACCTATTTAATTCTAAATATAAATTGAATTTTATTTTAAAAGTTCATTATATTGTTTAGTTGTTGCAACTTTACTGCGCTTAAGTAGAGTTCAGATTAAATTATGAATTGATTTATGGAGCTTAACTGAAAAACAGAAACTAATGCTTTCATTCCAAAGAAAAAGTATTATTAATAAAAAAAATTTTGAACTGTGATATCTTCAAGCCTTTATTTAAAACCTTTAAATAATAATATTATCATTATAAAAGAGTTATCTTTAAAAATTGTTACATATACTGAATATAAGTTTGTTGACATAAATATTATTTTCATAATACAAATAACTAAATCTCTGTTAAAGAATGGTCATATTTTATTTAATATATTCATTTAGACATGTTTTTGTTTTTTGTCTAGATGATATTGAATACTAACTTTTTCTATATAACTTCTTATACCCGACATTGTGAAATAAAAAAATTTATTACCTATCACTTTTTTCTTTCAATTCATTTGCAGTTTTTGCCCAAATGGATAAAAAATTGTAACTGTGCAACTTACAACTCGGCTGCTGATAGCCATAGTTACAATAGGGGTTTTTATGAATTTGTTTCAGTAGCTGTACCTAGGTGGTTCATTATAACAGATTATTCAAACAACAGAAATAATTTTTGATAAAATATAAATAATAATATGCTGAAACATATCTGATCGTTACATATTATAAAACCAAAGTACCTTTTCATTTAACTAACTTACTCATGGCTACTCCAAGTTTGAATGTTATAAATCCGCTTGAATATAAAAAACAAGTAATAAATATTTTATAAAAGTATAGTTTATTTAAATGTGTCCAACACATGACTTTCCTATCTAAATATTATAGGCTTTTTCCGGTTATTTTCTACAACCTATTGCAGCACCTTTATACATTTTTAGAGGATAAACTAAATATATACATTTTCTACATACATCTATCTCGAAACATTTTTCTATAGATATTCATTAAAAACGAAAATACTGAAAAATTAAAATTTAGCACTTTTCTTCCAATTTTTCCATTACGGTCCATTTTAGAAAAATCATGTAAGAACAAAAATTATAGATATCGATATCGCAAACAACTTTTAGTTTAACAATTTTCTTAAAAATGAGAATTTTGCACATTTTGTCAAATTTCTCGAATACGGACCATTTCAGGAAAATTTGACATAAGGCAAAAATTATAGATAATAATATTAGAAGTTACTTTTATTATTATTATTTAAACAATTTTCTTCAAACATAAATAACAGATATATTCCATAAAATATAAAAACGGCCTTTTATAAAGTAAAAATCCGTCGAAAACGAGAGGTCGAAAAAAATCATGATTCCTATACTTTCCTTATCTGTATACAGATAGGAAAGTAAAAATGAAAAATGTCAAGAGACCGTTTATTGTCCGTTTACATTGGCCTCCTGTATTTGTTACTTTGGTTTTTTGAATCGAGGACATCACATGGTATGTATTGCTAAACTATGGACGCTTTTCTACTTTCAGACAATCAATTATTGTAAAATGCATATTATTTTGTGCTATTGTGGAATATTTTTCGGTTCCTTTGTCTCAACTTCGCGCGTTAGAGTTTAGGTTATGTATCCCTCGTATCTACATGCAATTGTTAAAATTATAAATGAATGCTGATTTTGTTTAGTCTTGGAAGTAATTTTGTAGTATTTAGGCTAACCCTTTCAGTTTGTAATGTAAATTTTCCTCTTAATAAGTGTTTTTTGAGACCAATAACTGAAGGCAAGATGTTTGAATATATAAGCTATTCGATGAAGTACCTACTTTAGTTACAAAATTATGAAATTAATTTAAATTCCATCCAAAATACTATTCACGATAATTTAATGGTAAAAAAAAATCATTTAACCACTTATTTAGCATTGTATTATAATGAAAATTGTTCATAGTAAAACTTAAACTTTGCTATATTTAGAGCTCCTTTAAAAATTCAGAATTTTTTTGCTGTGGTTGATATTTTTGCTGGCATTATTTTGCCGCCATTATTGTGGTAATCGCATCTTGTAAGCTGTATTCACGAGTATTATTCTACAATTATAACAATTTCCAATAATTTTTAATTAATATCAATAATTTTGAGTCACCCTGTATCTACCATCGCGAGACTAGTAAAAAGTCAATACCGGCCACAACCCACACTTAAAATAGCCAAGATTAAATCGCAACAACTTTTTTTGCCAAATATGTTGTGCAGGTCAATGCCAAAACAATGGCAGCTTATGTGTAGCATTTTTTTTGTTTTTCATTGATACGTATAGTGAAAGTGATCTCATATTGATCTTTATTCCGTGCAGAATGGGGTATATAAACCGCTGGCCGTTCAAAAAAATTATCAAAGTACCTCGATCAGCCGACATGTCTTTCAAAGTAAGTCAATTGCGGTTAATACAGGGGCGACAAAAGTCATTTAGTGTGCGATACTAGTGAAAATTTAATTCTGTTAAAAATATAATAATTAACGTGTGATTTATAAAAATTCGGTCAGTTAGTGAAAATATACTGCGCGTTCTAATTTAGAAATCCACAGCATTTTTTTATCTATAAAACATTTTTTTTTTAATTTTTAATTTTGTGTATTATGAAAATTAAGGTTGACTTCTTTAATAGTATTAGATAATTTTCATATCTTTTGAATCCCCCTTTTAATGTTTTTTTTTTTTATTTTAATTAGCACAATCCCTGTGTACAAAGTAAGTTTACCCTTCCAAAGATAATTTCCTAAATTTCTCATTTTACCAATTTTCTTTGGTTGTCCTTTCTCCAAGCTCTAAATTTGTATCTTTTTTTGTTCATCCCAATTTATATGCACTGTTTCTCTTTCAGTTTTAATATGTTCACTTGTCCTTCTCTACATATATTCTATTTCATATTATGACCAATCTTGTCCTTTTAGTTTTCTTAAAAATCTGATGTTTGTACTTAACATTTTGTTTCTTCTTTTTTATCACTTTAATTTTTTTGAATCGCTTTATTAGGTGAATTAATATTGGTGTATTGATTTGACCATTTTCTTAACCTCCCCAACGTTTAGACTTTCTGATATTTATCTTTTTTCACTCCTTCACTATTTGTGATATTTTAAAAATTAAGTAATATTCGGGGTCCCTACTTTTTTATAGTAAGAGTATTGCTATTTCTTAAACGATAACATATAGAAAGTTGGTTAAATTAGACAAAAGTTGCGCATTTTTGTGTTCATTAAAGTAGACAATATTGGACAAAAATAAATTAATTTAAAGATAATACAATTTTCATTTTTTGTCCGATATTTTAAATCTTCCTGTAGAGATCAAAGATTTCTTGGTACCATTTTATTGAGCACAAAAATGCGCAACTTTTGTTTAAGTTATCCAACTTTCTATCTTCTACCGTTTAAAAAATAGCAATACTGTACCTATGAAATATTAGGGTGCTTGTTTAATATAAAGATGTAATTTTATTGCAAAATGCACTTTTATTATGTTATTTTAAATTGTATACTTTTATTTTCAGGTAATTTCCTTCGCAGCCTTTTTGGCAGTAGCTCAAGCTGGATTTCTTCCAGAAACCTACCATGCACCATTACAGTACGCTGCACCTATCGCTAAAGTAGCATACTCGTCAGCCCCAGCTGTGTCATACTCCAGCGTATCAGCTCCTGTAGCCTACGCTGCTGCCCCATCTTACGCTAAACTAGCTGCCCCAGTTGCATACGCTGCTCCAGCTCAGTATGCTGCACCTATCGCTAAAGTAGCCTACTCTTCAGCCCCAGCTGTATCATACTCCAGCGTATCATCTCCAGTAGCCTACGCAGCTGCTCCATCTTATGCCAAACTAGCTGCACCAGTCGCATACGCTGCCCCAGCCCATTATGCTGCTCCTGCTGTATCCTACGCCGCCCCAGCATACAAAGTAGCCGCTCCAGTAGCCTACGCCGCACCAGTACACAAAACCATCATCACCGAACCTGAAGCACCAGCTAACTACGATTTTGGATACGCCGTAAACGATCCCCAAACCGGAGACAGCAAAAGCCAACAAGAATCTCGTCATGGTGATGTCGTTCAAGGAAGCTACTCCCTTGTTGAAGCCGATGGAAGCAAACGTATTGTAGAATATACCGCTGATGCCCACAATGGTTTCAACGCCGTTGTTCACAAGGAACCAGCTCAAGTTGCTGTTAAAGCCGTAGTAGCTAAAATTGCTGCTCCAGTCCAATATGCCGCTCCTTTGTCCCATGGATCTTACTACCACTAAATAATTTTAGTAGCCTGCTGTGACGTTGTATATAATTTTAAATTATTTTAATAAAGACTGTGAAATTAAAAGCATATTTTTATGGTTTTACAAAATCAAAGTAATATTATTAGTATACATAATAAGTGTGAAGGGTGCAACATTTCGCACGAGTTAAAGTTTAGAAGTTTAGCACGAGCCAAGTAGCGGTAAGTGCGAATACTAAACGAGTGTGAGATATACACTTCTCAACTATTCTTCCTACAACTACGTGAAAAATCTTTAAAAAAATGTCCTTTTCAAATAAGAAAGTCAATTAAACAATTTAACACATGTACTAAAAAGTATACATATCACACATGGGTTGAAAAGTATATCAACATGTGTTGAAAAGTAAAAAATCTTCCAGAGATGACAAGAACTATTAAAATAATTATAAAATATTTATAACTAAAGAACAGAACAAAAGAACTAATAGAATAATAATAAATATTTATGGCTAAAGCAGAGATACTAACAGAATAATTTATAAAAATGTACATCTAAAATAGAGATAAATAACTAATAGAATAATTAAAAAATATTTATAACTAAAGTAGAGATAACAACTAATATAATAGTTAAGAAATACTTGTAGCTAAATTAGATATAATAAGTAATAGAATAATTAAGAAATATTTTTAACCAATATAATAATAACTAACAAGAACTAAATAAAAAATCTGATGTGTCCAACACATGACTTTCCTATCTAGTTATTATAGGCTTTTTCCGGTTATTTTGTACAACCTATTGCAGCATCTCTATAAATGTTTAGAGGATAAACTAAATATATACATTGTCCACATACCTCTACCTCGAAACATTTTTCTATAGATATTCATGGAAAACGAAAATACTGAAAAAAAATTCCTACAATTTTTTCATTACGGTCCATTTTAGAAAAATCATGTAAAAACAAAAATTATAGAGATCGATATCGCAAACAACTTTTATTTCAAAAACTTTCATAAAATTCAGAATTTTGCACATTTTGTCAAATTTCTCGAATACGGACCATTTCAGGAAATTTTTACATAAAACAAAAATATAGATAATAATATTAGAAGTAACTTTTATTTAAACAATTTTTTTTTCCAAATATTAATAACAGATATATTCCATAAAATATAAAAGTTGCCTCCCATAAAGTACCCCCCTCAGATGTTCCGACTATGTCTAAAATCTAATCATTTCACGTCAGGCCGAAATAAACCTTAAGTTTAAAATTTAATGTATTTTTCTTTATCCGTTTTTGAGTTTTCTTCAAAATTCGAAATTTACACATTTTCTCAAATATCTAGAATACGGTCCATTTTAGAGAAATTATGTATAGGATAAAAATTATAGAAAATTATATTACAAACAACTTTTATTTGAACAATTTTTATAAAAAATTATTTTTTTTACATTTTGTCAAATTTCTCGAATACGGACCATTTTAGGAAAATTTTGCATAAAACAAAAATTATAGATAATTATATTAAAAGTAACTTTTATTTGAAGAATTTTCTTCTCCAAACGTAAATAACAGATATATTCCATGAAATATAAAAATGACCACCCATAAAGTACCCCCCAAGATGTTCCGACTCTGCCCAAAATCTAATCAGCTCATGAGACGCTGGAACAGAGCTTAAGTTTGAAATTTGGTGTTTTTCCGTGTATCGGTTCATGAGTTATGCGTTACACACACACACACACACACACACACACACACACACACACACACACACACACACACACACACACACACACACACACATACACACACACACACACACACACAGACACACACACAGACACACACACACACACACACACACACACACACACACACACACACACACACACACACACACACACACACACACACACACACACACACACACACACACACACACACACACACACACACACACACACACACACACACACACACACACACACACACACACACACACACACACACACACACACACACACACACACACACACACACACACACACACACACACACACACACACACACACACACACACACACACACACACACACACACACACACACACACACACACACACACACACACACACACACACACACACACACACACACACACACACACACACACACACACCCACACACACACACACACCCACACACACACACACACACACAGACATCATCGCGAAAATAGTCAAAACGGATTCAGGGGACCTCAAAACGTAAAAATCCGTCGAAAACTCGAAGTCGAAAACTCGAAGTCGACAAAAATCATGATTCCTATACTTTCCTTATATCTGTATACAGATAGGAAAGTAAAAATGCTAAAAGCTTTAGTAAAAATTTCAAGTTTTGGTTAAAAAACTAAGGGCGAAGAAAGTTCTTTATATTAATGTTTCAAATGCAAAGAGACTTATCTAAAAGTTAACGTCACGTAGCGTTTAGCGTCAATTTATATTTACTTATGTAGGTATATTATTAAGATTAAAGTAAAATGTTATATGGAGTTGACAAAATGGAAAAATCTTTATTTTTATTTTAAGGAAGAAGTCATTATAAAAAAATTCTGTATGACGAAAAAATAGGTTTACTATATAATATGTTAAGTCAGGTGTACAGGGTCTTAATAAATGAAGAAACTTGAAAGTGACAAAAAGCTGTATTACCTATTGATTTTACGAAGAAAAGTCACAGTTTTCCTGTCGGTTTTCCTTTATAACTTTAAAAGGAAACTTTTTCTTGTAATTTTTTTCAACAAGCAGAATTTTTTGTAAGGAATTACTTTTTTTTTCAGAAAAAAATTAATATTAATCGTAATTGTATTATTCCCAAATATCGAAATACTTAACAAAAATTTAATTCTGTTACTCATTTTGATAATAATTATTCTATATATGCGAATAACAAAGCTTTATAATCTTGATAAATCTAAAGTATTTTCATTACAAAAAGCAAGAAAATCTTAATTAGCCATTAAAGCAATTATAAGTAGTAAATTAAAAATTAGTAATGAGTCACATACAATCAAAATCATGTGTCTTATGTAGTTTTTCGCTTTCAACGATTGTTTTTTTTTTGTTTTTCGTTTTAGGATTTATGACTGGAACTCTTATTTTATTTCGCACGATTATAGAAAAATTTTGTTTGTTTTATGTTATTTAATATAGTTGTTTATTCAGAAAATGTAGATTATGTTTATTGTTGTAACCAATAAAGATTCTACAAATAATATTTAGTTGTTACAATTTTGTATTATTGATTTTACACTAAAATTATTTAACATAAAATTTTACATTTTTATTTGCATTTTTTAATACGCCTGAGATGCGTATTAAAAAAATGCTATTAAAAATGTAAAATTCTTATATTTTGTCGAAGTAAATTCAAAAGTCCGCCAATTTTCATACTAAAATAGCATTACATCTTTCTATATTACCGACTGAGTATTAATTTCACAAAACTATTCCATATGTCGCTGAAGGTAAACATGCTGCCAAATTTCTGTGAGGAACTGCAACTCTTAATTATCCTTCCTCCATAATGGTAACTGTGTAAACCCTACATCGGTCCAATTTCAAAGGACGTTCAAAAAATTGCAATGTTTAAATTTATTACATTCTGGAACTGAAAACTGCGAAACAGGTGGGGATGCTTTACTTGTAAGGCTGCATGAAATTAGTAGGACTAATAAGGATGAGCCATTTTCCAAAATCGCGTGTAATGGTGGCAATATTGTCGAAAATGTAAATATGAACAAGCATATTGATGAATTGCATGCACAAAATGTTAATATTTTTTTAGGAAAATTTTATTATGTCTTAAAATTCACAGTTGAGACGTATGTACACAATATGCCTTACCACGCGAAGACTTGGATACAAGCTCCATGTATTATTATAAACCATACAAAAAAAGCAAATGAAGATATTTTGGGCAATTTAAAAATGTCAAATAATAGTTTTGTATGTTTAATAACAAAAATTGAAATAATTTTTCAACAGAATTTTGAATTATTTATCACTAAATCCGGCGTTTGTAAGTTTTTTTTAGATTTAATTAATTCCAAGATAACATTTGACGCTCCTTGTCCCCGATTTCCAGAAATAAAGGGTCTACCAATAGGAGTGATAGAATTTTCGAAGATCATATGCGTACAATGTTGATTGTGATAACAAGAAGCAAGCGTGGTTTGTGTTCAGTATACTTTGACATTTCACCATGAATCGACTAAGTAAAGAGTAACGTTTAGTTATCGTACAGAGGTATTATGAAAATGGGCGATCGGTTAGAGCTTGTTATTGTGCTCTTCGTGAAGATTTTGGCCAACATGGACGACCTTCTGAGCTCGCTATCAGGCGCACAATTGCCAAGTTTGAACGGGATTACACTCTCTTGGATAGTAAGCCACCGACAAGACGAAGAACTGCAAGGAGTGCTGAAAATAGCGCTGCGGTAAGGGAAAGCGTGAACGCAAATGCAAATGTATCCGTTGTGCGCCGTTCTCAGCAACTAGGCATTTCAGCAATGTCAACATGGCGTATTTTGAAGAAAGATTTGGGCCTACATCCATATAAGATGGTTATAACTCAAGAACTGCAGCCTGCCGACCATGCTTTGCGGAGAATGTTTACCGATTGGGCACTTTTGCAGTTAGAAGAAAATGCTGATTTTGGTAAACAAATCACTTTTCAGATGAAGCCCATTTTTGGCTTAATGGCTTTGTGAATACGCAAAATTGTCGCTTCTGATGTGAGAACAATCCCCAGCAACTAGTGGAGAGGCCATTACACCCCGTAAAAGTTACTGTCTGGTGTGGTTTGCATGCTGGCGGAATTATCGGTCCCTACTTTTTTGAGGATGCGGATGGGCATAATGTAACAGTGAGTGCAGAGCGCTATCGTGCCATGCTAACGGAATTTCTTTGGCCTGCACTTAATGCTGGAAACATGGAAGAGAAGTGGTTTCAACAGGACGGTGCAACATCGCACACTGCCCGAGACACAATGAATTTATTGAGGAAGCGTTTTGAGGGGCGAATAATTTCCCGACATGCTCGAATCAACTGGCCACCAAGATCTTGTGATCTTACACCTCTCGACCTTTTCCTCTGGGGATATGTAAAGTCTTTAGTATACACTAACAATCCCCAAACTAGCGACGACTTGAAAGCTAATATCACCCGAGCTATTCACGAAACTTATTGGAAAAAGTTAACGAAAATTGGATTCATCGTCTACACGTCTGCCGCCGCAGCCGAGGCGGCCATCTTAATGATGTCTTATTCAAAACATAATGTCATATAGTTGGCTACAAAATAAAAAAAAATCATAGACATATATTAGTTTGTTTTTATTTTATAGCACTTTCAAGTTATATCATTCTTATTGGTAGACCCTTTATATGTTATTAAGTTATATTTAAGGTTACTCATATATTACACTTTAAAAATATTAATAGAAATTTTAAGACCATCAATAAAAACAAGCTAATTATTTGGCGCAATCTGTAGAGCATATTGTCTTTCTTAATGCTGTTCTTATAAGTTAAATTAAAATATATTTTACGTAAATTTTTACTTTTTTGTTTTAATACGATCCTGCCTTACAATATCTTATTTTATTCCAAAATCTTTAAATACGCTTTAATCCGACCCTGACTAAGACCCCCGAATGGCGTCGCCAAGGTCAAATTTTCTTAGTATAATATTTGTATGCGATCAGCGGCAAGTGAGCCTGCCGATTGTTTCTTATGCCGTGGTATAGGAGTAAAAAATTGTGAGATGCGACAGGAGACCACCGCAAGTTAGGAAGATTAAAATCACCTATTATTAAAAATACATCATTAGGATGTTCAGATATGACATTACTTACATTATTAAGAAATAAATGCATATTATCTATACTTGCATATGGAGGTACGTAAACGCAACACATATGAAGAAATTTATTACTTTTAAGGCGCAAGGACACCCACAAATCTTCAACAATTCCCGCACTGCACCACTGATTATTTAACACAGAACAAAAAAGTTTTCTTATTGCAATTAGGACACCTCCACCATCTTTTTTCTGAGTTGTATCACGAGAGCGATCGCGACGATAAATTTTAAAAATATTTAAATCAACTAATTCGCCATCTTCTATAGACGATTTAAGCCAGGATCTAACAAATTAAGAAATTAAGGTCGTTTTCTGTTTCTATTAACTTAATTTTGCCATCCTTTCCCGTTATATAAATTCTACAGTCTCTGGTCCAGCATAATTTTAACGCTTTATGCGATTACAACTCTTTATATTATGTCAAAATTAAAAAATATATATATTTTTACTCTAAAATTATTAAAAAATATGCTTTTAGTTCCACAGTCTTTATTAAAATAATTTAATAATTTATTTACAACACAACTAAACCAATTTAGTGGTAGTAAGATCCATGGGCCAATGGCGCGGCATATTGGACTGGAGCAGCGAATTTAGCTACAGGAGCGGCATAAGCAACTGGAGCAGCGACTTTAGCTACAACGGATTTAAGAGCAACCTGCGCTGGTTCCTTGTGGACAACGGCGTTGAAACCATTGTGGGCGTCAGCGGTGTATTCTACAATACGTTTGCTTCCATCGGCTTCAACAAGGGAGTAGCTTCCATGGACAACATCACCATGACGAGATTCTTGCTGGCTTTTGCTGTCTCCGGTATGGGGGTCATTTACGGCGTATCCAAAATCGTAGTTAGCTGGTGCTTCAGGTTCTGCGATGATGGTTTTGTGTACTGGAGCGGCTACTTTGTATGCTGGAGCAGCGTAGGATACAGCTGGGGCAGCATAATGGGCTGGGGTAGCGTATGCGACTGGTGCAGCTAGTTTAGCGTAAGATGGAGAAGCGGCGTAGGCTACGGGAGCTGATACACTGGAGTATGATACAGCTGGAGCTGATGAGTATGCTACTTTACCGACAGGTGCAGCGTACTGCAAAGGTGCATATTGAGCTGGGGCAGCGTATGAGACTGGCGCAGCTAGTTTGGCATAAGATGGAGCAGCAGCGTAGGCTACGGGTGTTGATACACTGGAGTATGATACAGCTGGGGCTGACGAGTATGCTACTTTAGCGACAGGTGCAGCGTACTGCAATGATGCATAATGAGCTGGGGCAGCGTATGAGGCTGGAGCAGCTAGTTTAGCATAAGATGGAGCAGCTGCGTAGGCTACGGGAGTTGATACGCTGGAATATGATACAGCTGGGGCAGATGAGTATGCTACTTTAGAGACAGGTGCAGCATACTGGTAGGTTTCTGGAAGAAATCCAGCTTGAGCCACTGCCAAAAAGGCTGCGAAAGATATTATCTGAAAATAAAAAGTAACTTTAAAAATAACTGACATGATAATAAAAAGTATCTTTATTGTGCCATTTAAAACAAAATGGTTAAATTAATAAAAAATAATTGTAGTAGTTAATATTCTAAATCATATTTGTTCAGACAGTTCTTAAAAACAGAAAGATAAAAACAGATTTTTACTAGATTTAAAAGGCTTTCTGTTCAAATCTTGTTAGTTTTTGATGGTTTTAAATTTCATGTTATTTAAAGTAAATAAAGCTGATCTTAAAATTTTTATAATATCTCTAAATAAATATTTTCAAACCAATAACCTACTTTTTATGTTATTGATGTTTGTTATTTTTACTTTGTATTTTTTTTATACTATTATATAATTTTTTTGTTTTGTTATTATATATGTAGTTGTCAGTGTACCTAATATAATAAATAATACAATAATAATAGTAAATATATAGATTTGGAACCGCCTTTTTTACCTAAGTGATTTTAGATATTAAATTTTGTATTCAAAGTAAGATAGCATTTTTGTTAAGTAAATAATTATATACTTATATTTTTTATAAAACAATAAATAGAAGTGTAAATTTAAATGTTATTAAATATTTTTTTAAATTGTATTCATTTTAAACTGTACCAATGAAATAACTACAACAAAATAAATATTTATAAGCTCTCAAGAAAAATAATAACGAATAATTAGGCTTTATGAAATAATTAATCTACTTAGATTGTTAAAGGATATGACTTACTTTGAAAGACATGTTTGGTGGTCAAATGTATTTTGATTATTTTTTAAACGGTCCGCGGTATATATACCGAAATCATTTGACCTAAGGAATAATATGAGATTACTTTCACTGAACATATCAATAAAAAATGCTACACAATAGTTTATATTGTTGGTAGAATTGAATGTTAAACTTTTAGTTTTTTGTAGTTATAAATTGCCTTTACTGTCCTTTAATAAAATAGGGATTCGAAACCATCATAATGCAACTATTAAGAAAATGAAATATTTAGGAATAAAATTAGATTTGCATCTTAAATGGAATGCCCATGTCAAGGCTTTTACTTGGTTTAAAAATTTAAATATCGTAAAATATCTCTGGATGTTCCTGATTTAAAAATAATTTATTATTTTCTTGTTCAGTCGAGGTTATACTATGGTATAGAAATTTGGATATAGCGGAATACTTCAAAGTCTGAAAAAAATTATATTTTACAAAAAAAAAAATTTAAATAAAAAATGGACTTGCTCGTCATGTTCTTTGTTCATTGAAAGTAAAGTGATGAATTTCAGACAATAATTATGGATTATATAAAAATTCTGTCTCATTATTTTTCTACAAAAACCGATATTTTCTAAAAATTCTAATATCACAGCTATTCTATCAGAAATAAATTATATAGTAATTATGTAATTTCAGAGGCTGGTAAAATCGGTGGGTCAAAAGTATGATACATATTTGTCTTTGGGAATATCCAACTTTTAACTAAATACGATACTATCTGGACTTAATAATCCAATCGCATCAACATATTAAAGAGAATAATGTTGAAAATTCGGAAACAAATCTCAAAAATCCACCCTCGAATTATTAAGACCATCCCCGAACCACAAATACTTGGATATTTGAAAAAAACTGTCGCCGTCGTAATTCGAACCTCTGTTTTGTACACAAATGCCCTTACCACTATACCATGATGACATTCCTAGACAGCAATTTGACGTACTAGCCAGAGGCCGTTTCAGGCTCGTTCTCAAATATTCAAATACCTCTAGACAGCATCGGTATATATGATAAATGCATTGATGCATACTAAGCCCGTATCTTCCACTGCGTGAGTAAAATTTTCAATGTACGTTTGCGATCTACGATATATTAAATTCACAATTTTCATACTGAAGCAAAACCAATCCACCCACATTCAGGTCTTGGATGCACTCTGGCGAAATCATCAGAGTAATATGCGATGATGACCTGATGTTGGAATAGCAAAAATCGAGGTACTAACCTTAAGAACACGGGAAAGGGCAACACGTTGTTGTAAGCATGGACAAGCTCCCCAAGCTCACCAAAGTCTCTCTGTGGATCCCAGAAAAAGCACAAGCTAACCTTTACGAGAAGGAGGTTGTGCTCAGGCGAATTGAGGGCAAAATCCAAACCATGAAAAGACCCGAAGGACCATCTCTTTGTCTTCGGCATCGAAGACGAAGACATGAAAACCCTAAAGGTCAAATCAATGAGGGTGGGCTATGCCTTCACCTCATTGACTATAAGGCCAAAGGTCGAAAAAGAGGATGAAAGGAGACCCTCACCTTCCCAAGTACAGCCAACAGTGAATGATGTCGAGCCAGCAAGAATGGCTACCAATTACCTCCTGCAAGAAAACTCCGAGGAGCCACTAGAGATCACTCCCTTCTCACTTTGGGTAGAAGGGATGGTCGAATAAATAACTACCTTGCTGTCCAAACTTCAACGGAAGACCGGAACTTGTAGCACAAAAGTGTAGCTACAACAACATTCTGCCGCCGCCTTGATAAGCTGAAAGATACAATAGCACTCCTCCAGAAACCCTGGATATTAGAAACCAAAAAAATGGGTCTTAAAAATCTAAATGGTTTAATTGTTAGTTTTTACAATAACCAACAACCTAGAACAGCCATTTACATTCCTAGGAAATATAAAGCCCACTCAATGGAGCACATTTTCCCCTCCGATTTAGGTTTAATTGCGTGGGCATGTCACTACACAATAGCGTATGCAAATGACCTGGTCATTCTGCAAACAGGGAATTTTGAGAACATACTCTGCGAAAGAATGCAAGTAGCTCTCAAAATTAGAGAACAGTAGTGCTAGAACCATTCACTGTCTATCAATCCCAAGAAGACAAAAATGGTTCTTTTCACAGCGAAAAGGATGAAAATAGAATTAAAACCTCCAGTACTCCTAAACACAAAACTAAACTTTGTAACAGTACCCAAGTCTCGCCTTTAACAGCAAGTTAAAATAGAACTCACAGAACAGAGTCAAAAGAGCATACATTACGTATGAACAATGCCACCGAACCGTGGAGCGCACCTGTGGTTTCTCCCCCACAGTCGTCACATGGACTTACACGGCCATTATAAGACCTATGCTAACATACGAAGCATGGTAACGAAAACCAGAAAATTGACAACTATCCGCAAACTAGAACAAATTTAAATAACAGCATGTCCCAACATAACAGAAGCCATGAAAAATACACTAACCAGATCCGTGAAAGTCATTTTTAGTCTCACTTCCCTTAAAATTTACATCAAGAAGGTTGCTCTAATGACAATGACACGTCTTCGCATGGTTGAAATAGAACCTGATGTAGGATCTGGTGAAGGGAGACGTCGCGTTTAGCAGGAGGCGCTCGATATGCTCCCACTACTTCAAGCGAAGATGGACTCCATCTCACCGAGGTATATCTTCCATAAGCCATATAAAGTTATAACAGAACAAATAGAAGAGCCGGAAGTGGCAGGTACGATTCATATCTACACTGACGGTTCTAAAACAAAACAAGGCTCAGGATATGGAATATTCTCCATATCCTTAAAGCTAAACATAAAATGGACTGTAACCAATAGTGTCAGTGTAGTTCAAACAGAGCTCACGGGGATTCTCATAGCAACAAAAGAAATCACCAGAAACTATATCACTGGAAGGAACATGCTCATATATACTGATAGCAAGTCAAGAAGCACTACTCACCCTGAACAGACTACGAATTTACACAGGGTTAGTACTGGAATGTTACGAAGCTTTGACCTAAGTATCCATAAACAATGTGGTCACCTTAAGATGGATCAAAGGTCACAATCTTGTTGATTCACTGGCCAAGAAGGCAACCAACCAAATATTTTTGGGCCTGACCTTTCTATTGGTCTGAGAAAATCGGTAGTGACAGAATATTCTTTTGTGAAATTCAAGAAAAGATGGGATGAAACAAGAAACTGCAGAGTTGACAGGGAGCTTTTAAGTTATCCTGACAATACTACATCAAACAAATACTTGACTATGACTAGACAGAATCCGCGCCTGGTCACAGGCATTCTGATTGGTCATTGCCAAGTACGAAAGCATCTCCATATCATAAGGCTGTTAGAATCCTTATTCTGTAGGAGGTGCGAACAAGAAGATAATACCATCAAGCATATCCTCTACGATTGCCCGACGCTCTTATTTATCAGAAGATTTGTGTTCGGCGAGTATCGGCTAATACCGGCCGATATAATAGAAGCATATCTTGGCAACGGTGTCAACTTCATTAAATATGTAGGCTGGCTCTCGATCTAGGAAGTGTCTATCATCTTAGGAGGATGCACAATGGGCCTAGTGAGGCCCAAGTGCCAAGGGGTAATTCGCCCTCCACACGTTACAGATACAGACACGAAAGGGGACGAAGACTATTGATTTTAAAAAATTTTTATTAAAAAAGGGGGTCGATAAGGGAGTTTGAAATATAACAAAAATCTTAAAATAAAAAACGAAAATCGATATAGACTTAAAATTTATAGGAAAACTTAAACTGTAGGGGACGAAGCCTACGGATTTAAAAAAAATATGAATCAAAATGGGGTGGTTAAGGAGGGTTGAAATTTAAAAAAAAAATTAAATCACAATCAAATAACGATTTCAACTTGAAATTTTCAGGAAAAGTCAAGCTCAAGAAAAGACGAGGCCTATAACTAAAAATTATCTCAACTTTAAATTTTTATAAAAATCAAGTTGTCTAGATTTTGAAAAAGAATCTAAATAAAATGGGGGTTAAGGGGCTGAATTATTAAAAAAATTTTAGCTCAGAAACAGAAAACGATATCAACTTAAAATCTTGAAAAAAAAAATAAAGAATCATTGAAAAATTTAATAAACTGAATAAAAATGGGAGGGTTAAGGTAGATTGAAATAAAAAAAAATCAAATCAAAGACGAAAAGCGATATCAACATGAAATTTTTATCAAGCTGTATAAGGGAATGAAGCCTATTGATTCAGAAAAAATCTAAAATATAAAAAAAAATCCTAACTCAAAACCGAAAAATAATATTTACTGGAAATCTTCAGGAAAATTAAGCTTTACAAGGGGATAAAACCTACTGATTTTGAAAAAATCTGAATTAAATAGGGAAGTTAATGGAAACTGAAATAAAAAAAATCAGAAGACATAATCGAAAAGCGATAGCAACAAAATTTTTACTAAAATTCAAACTCTATAAGGTAATGGGAAAGTGTTATTTAATTAAATAGTTATTATGACCATATTTCTTTTGAGCCCATGCTGGCCGCGAGAGATGAAAACTTTTTTTTAAGCTCCTCAACCCAAAGACTCAAAGATTAACGCAAAAACACAGAAGAAGTAATTTTTATCTCCGCAAATCTTATTTGTTACGTTTCAGTAAATTATGTATCAAATATTACATTTGATGGACAATAATGGCGTTTTGCTAAACAAATACAGCGTTTTGCTGGACAAATACGGTGTTTGCTATAAAAGATCAAATGCCGGATAGGCTTTGAAAATGCCTAAAGTATACGTCAAATGATATTCATAATTAATAGCTAACTTTAAACTAATCTAAAACTTTTATTCATCATTTAGTTTTTTTGTTAAAGATTGTTAGTTTTTAAGAAAATGGGTTATTTGCATAGGTACCAATATGGATATGGACAAGTTTTTTCTTAATAAAGTCAGGTCAGCATCACTTTTTGAATAAAAAAGTGTTTATATTATATTGTGCAGGTTTACGATGGATCCAAACGGTATTAAGTGGCGACCTAACAGAATTAATACTAATTGTAAATTTTCTGTAGAAATCTATTTTTATACGGCCAACCTTCCTTCACTATAAACTTGCACAAGCAATGTATATATTGATTTTAAAACCAAAAGGGGTATATTTTATTTTTTGTTTTCACAACTAGAGAAATAGGTAACGAATTTTTCTTTACCAGTTACAGAATATTCAACAAAATTTGCTTCTTGTTTCACAGCCTTTATTAAAATAATTTAATAATTTATTTACAATGTCACAACAGGCTATTAACTAAACGACTTTAATGGTAGTAAGATCCATGGGCCAATGGTGCGGCATATTGGACTGGAGCAGCCAATTTAGCTACAGGGGCAGCATAAGCGACTGGAGCAGCGATTTTAGCTACAACGGCTTTAGCAGCAACCTGAGCTGGTTCCTTGTGAACAACTGCGTTGAAACCATTGTGGGCATCAGCGGTGTATTCTACGATACGTTTGCTTCCATCGGCTTCAACAAGGGAGTAGCTTCCACGGACAACATCCCCATGACGGGATTCTTGTTGACTTTTGCTGTCTCCAGTGTGGGGATCGTTTACGGCGTATCCAAAATCGTAGTTAGCTGGTGCTTCAGATTCGGCGATTATGGTTTTGTGTACTGGTGCGGCGTAGGCTACTGGAGCGGATACTTTGTATGCTGGGGCAGCGTAGGATACAGCTGGAGTAGCATATTGTGCTGGAGCAGCATATGCGACTGGTGCAGCTAGTTTGGCATAAGATGGAGCAGCAGCGTAGGCTACTGGAGATGATACACTGGAGTATGATACAGCTGGGGCTGAAGAGTAGGCTACTTTAGCGATAGGTGCAGCATACTGAGCTGGAGCAGCATATGCAACTGGGGCAGCTAGTTTAGCGTAAGATGGGGCAGCACCGTAGGCTACAGGAGCTGATACGCTGGAGTATGACACAGCTGGGGCTGACGAGTATGCTACTTTAGCGATAGGTGCAGCATACTGAGCTGGGGTAGAGTATGCAACTGGGGCAGCTACTTTGGTATAAGATGGGGCAGCAGCGTAGGCTACGGGAGATGATACGCTAGAGTATGATACAGCTGGAACTGATGAGTATGCTACTTTAGCGACAGGTCCAGCGTACTGCAATGGTGCATAATGTGCTGGGGCAGCGTATGAGACTGGAGCAGCTAGTTTAGCGTAAGATGGAGCAGCAGAGTGGGCTACTGGAGCTGATACGCTGGAATATGATACATCTGAGGCTGATGAGTATGTTACCTTTGCGACAGGTGCGTACTCCAGTGGTGCGTGGTATGTTTCTGGAAGAAGTCCAGCTTGAGCTACTGCCAAAAAGGCTGCGAAAGAAATGATCTGAAAAAAAAATAACTTTAAGAAACCTGATATATAAATAAAAAGTGTGTTCTACATGTGTCATTTAAGATAAAATGGTTAAATTAATAAAACAGTAATAAATTAATAAAATACCTTAGTTAATATTCTAATCATACTTATTCAGACAGTTTTTGAAAACAGACACATATAAATACATTTTCTGTTTAGATCTTGTTAGTTTTGTAGGTTTCGTGACACCTCAAGAAAATAAAGTGAATTTTAAAATCTTTGTAATGTCTATAAATGAATATTTCTAGATCAGTAAACCTAGTTTTTATTTTATTTGATTTTGTTATTTTTATTTTATTTTTTTTATATTGTTATATTATTTTTAATATTATTTTGTTTTGTTATCTTATAGGTACGTAATAAATGGTATTTAAAAGTAGTTGACTATAATATGATAATACTCGTAAATAGATTAATTATCTAGTTTTTAAACTATCATTTCATTTACTTAAGTGATTTTAGATCTTAAATTATATACTCAAAATAAGTAGATAACATTTTAGTTATGTAATTGTTTACTTATCATTTCTCTAAAACAATAAAAAAAGGTGTACATTTTTAGTTAATAAATATTTTAAGATTGTATTCATCTGAAAAAGAACCAATGCAATAACTAAAATTATAATAATTTTATTAGTTATATGTATTTAAACTACTTTTTTGTGACCAATAAACGATATACCTGCTGCTGTTGAGGAATGCATATATTTGCATTATAATAATTTAAAATATAAAGCCCTTTGATTTTTTTTTTCTCGGAAACTCGAAGAAATTAAAACTTTAATATATATGCATATTTTATATATTATTGCCTAATTTATTTTGCTAATTTTTTAATTTTTTAAAAAAAGAACTTTTTGAAAAATACTGGCCCGAAAATTATAAGGGTTGCTGTAATCACCTTAAGGTTACAGTCACACCCTCATACTAGGTATATATTAATAAAAACCATCAAAACATTTATGTATATCAAAGATAATTGCATTATAAATTTTAAATAGAACATTTTTATTAAATTATTAAATATTAATAAGATCACAAGAGAAATAATAACAAATAATTATGCTACATCTACGTAATAATAATTACTAGTCTAATTAGACATGTTAAAGGATTTGACTTACTTTTAATGACATGTTTTGTGGTCAAATGTGTTTTGATTATTTTTTAAACGATCTGCGGTATATATACCGAATTCACTTGGCCTAAGGAATGATATGAGATCACTTTCACTGAACGTATCAATGAAAAATGCTACACAATAGTTTATATTGTTGGTAAAATTAACTATTAACTTTGAGAAAACTCATTTTGTTCCTTTTTATAGTTGTAAATCGTCTTTACCACTCTTTAATGAAATACGAATTCAAAAATATCACAATGCAACTATTAAGTTAGTGAAGAAAATTAAATATTTGGGTAGAAAACTAGACTTGCATCTTAAGTAGAACGCCCATGTCAAGGATTTTGCCAATTTTGTGTTTCAAAATTTAAATATGTTTAGATCTTCCTGATTTGAAAATAATTTATTATTCTCTTGTTCAGTCGAGGTTAAACTTTGGTACAGGTACTTGGATGGGTCGAAATTCTTCAATTCTTGGACCATTTTGTGACTGTATAATTAGTTTTTAGATATAAATAAAAAAATATAAAGTTACAATTTATCTTGGTTGTTGTGTTTTAATATTCACTAATAAAGTATTGTAGGCGTAACTTTAAACTTAAGAAATGGCATAGGTACCTCACATTGTTTTTAAAATTATATGTGATATTTTGTTCGCAAGTTATGGTCGTAGGAAAAATTGTGTGCATAACTCGTTGAAAACCATTATTTCTGCACTCTCAGTTTCCAAATTAGTTTTGTAATATACCATTTTTTTACTTCTTTTGTGCTCCTAGAAAAACGTATTGCATTTAACTTCAATTTTCAATTTATATTGCCCAAAACATTATTAGGAATAATAATTTTTTATGTGAGGAACTACCTACAACCAATATTTCTAAAACCGGTACACATAATCTGGCAATCTGCGTATGGTGACAGTTCTTGCTTACAACACTGAGTATCTATCTAAGGCAAACCAATAAAATTAGTACTAAAATTACTTACGTCCTCCAATATGCTCCAATATTGTTACAGTTCTTTTTCTTTTTAAAGAATAACACAAATAGTTTTTACTAATTTTAGATTCTTTACGGCCGATTATCATTGTAGTTTAGGTCACGCTTCGCTCACGCTCCACTCAAGGCGCGATGCAGTATTACGACTCGCTATTTAAATGGAAATAATCATATGTGGCGTTTCGCTAACGGTAAGCTCACGATCTTTGACCGCGCTCTATAACTCTAAGTGGACCTTTGCGTCAGTGTCTACAAACAATAATCAGACTAGCCACAATTTTTCTATTCTCTAGCGGTGAAATTGCCTCCCAAAATGTAGTATTTTGCTTAATCAAATTTGCTGAAATAGAGTGGAAAATTCTCCTTCGGTTTTTCGTTTTGTTAAAATATCGTGAACACATATCTTCCGACGTTTCTGTGTTCTTGTTCTTCATTATCTAATCATAATGCAATTGCAGCTAAATCAATTATTAAAAATTTGTTCATCTTACAACAGATATCTGTCGATACTTTTTATAAAATTGATTAAAAATATTAAAATGAGCGCGAGTTGAGTGTAATATATGAAAACCTTAAATCCTTGATTGTGAGCGGATCGTGAGCGTAGTGTGACCTGAGCGCCTAGTGAGAATCGGCTTTTATAGTTCCTTTTGGATTTATTTATTTTTAAAAACTAAATATACAACAACGCTATCACTGCACAGTCAGAGAAACAATAGATGCACACGTTATGCAGTCGAAAAATAATATAACCTATTGTTATTGTATTGTAACCTGTGTACTCTTAGTAATTAGGAATTTTTAAAACAATCCCCCATCGTCAAGCGTTTGATCTCCTTTATTTTACCCTGTTCTTTGGTATCCGGTCGGCGTAATAAATAATTATCATAATAGGTAAATAGTTAATTATATTTCTTGTTTGGAACTAAGATTTCTTACGAAACCATTTGCTGAAATTTAATTATATTGTTTATAAAAATTCTTTACGAAATTAAAATTATTTTGCTATCAATGCTAATTTTCAAACGAAGAGATTTTAATAAAATACATGTATTTTAGCATTGTATTCATTTAATTTAGTATTAATTAATCTTAGAGACATATGCCTATAAACACTACTAGAACAACAACTAAAGGAGACAATGAGCGGGCGACAACTTAAGCGGTCCAGTGCACATACATTATTTAACAATTAAATTTAATGAGATTATCAATTAGATCTATTTTACGTATATTTTAGAATGTCTAAAATAATTTCTGTGAAATTTAGATGAGATACTTGCAGTTCTGCAGCTCTACAGCACTTATGCATCAGCTGTCACTGAATCTTTATCTATTTAGATAAATTTATTTATATAAATATGGACCTATATTTTTATGTTCTATATTAAACATCTATTTATTTGCATAGGCTCTTTTAATGAAAAGTTAGCTAGATTAATTTTTTTTCTATTCGCTGTTATAATCTGGTGAAATGGATTACACTGATCGATTTATACTACCAGATTGATCGATCTTACTCACTACGTGCTTTTTACCGATATGTACTTATTTTACGGACAACATATTTTTTATAGGAAATAAAAGTACTTTTTCAGTAGGTATCACAGAAAAACAACGCGCTTCTCTTGGATTAATGAAATGTAAACAATCAGATTAGCAACCTTACAGAATCACCTGAAGTAGCTGTTACGCCGACTTTTTTCTTCAGAGTACTAAGGGAAAGCCTTTTCAACGCCAGGAGGGGTCAATCTCAGGAAGGATTCGAAAGTTAACAAATAAAAGCTATTGCGGAGTTCTTTTCTTTCAATCAGGCAGATTATTATATCTTTCAGCAATAAGTATGAAACGAGATTCATATAAATACCTATTTATATTTACAAAATTTTCGAAGGTAAGTTCAACAAGAGCCATACACAGGATCACTGATAATAATTGTAAGATAGCTTTACCATTGATTATTTTATTTTGTTCTGTATGTTTTTAATAATTAGGACCTATTTTGTTTCAGGATCGCTATCTTGTCCTTATCACAAATTTTACCTTTTAAGAAGGTTTAAAGTTCTACTTGCTAAGGAATTATCAGCAAATTGGCAAGTTAATATATAAAATATACCTAAATCACTGACTCAAATAAAAAAAATAAAGTTCTTAAGGCTTATTTGTTTTTTTTTTTTTTTTCAAAAGGGCGGCTTCTCTTCAGAATCTTACACGGCTTCGTTCAATGTTATGGAGTTCATATAGGCGTCAATACAGTGTATTTGATTGAATAAGATATTTTAATGGGAACTATCAACCCAGATATAGTTTTAAGTACAAAAGGTAAAAATAAAACTGGAAAAAGGCCTAAAAATAATATAACTTGGTAAAGTATTGTCTAAAGAAATATTAAGTACATTAGAATATTTCAATCAATAGACTCACGTCGGTTGGTAGGGGGCCTAAACGTGGCTTCAATTGAAGCTAATTTGATAATTGAATTCACCAAACAGATTATTTCTTTTTAGATCCACAAAATATTATATTAGTTACTTTATCCCCAATATCAAAATTAAATAAAACAATCGGAGATTTCGGTAAATATCCGCGAAAATGCGAAGTTTGGAAAACGTGGTTGCTTCTTAAAGAAAATTCTCCAAAAAGAAAAAACTGATAGTTTTTCCTTATGGGCTTTAAACCGAATTATTCTTAAGAATCTAGAGAATTATTCTTTTGCACTGTTGACTAAACTGGACTGAACATGGTATTTTCCTCCGAGCAATTACTACTAGAGGGAGTCTTCCCCCCTTCCCCGCGCTAAATTTTGTTAGCAACATCTACTCCCCCCGAGGGGGAAAATACCTCTTCTGTAATTGGCTTATTTAATCAGCGTTGCCAAGTTTGACAGCGCCAGTTCTGACACTTTCTGACAAATGTCAATTTCTTATTTGTATTTTACGGAAAATATTATTATTTATAACGTTGTAAAGGTTGTAAATGTATATTTAAGATTTATTATCTCTAATAATATGGTGAAAACATGCTTTATATGTAAAAGGCC